CAGGCAGGTCCGGACAGGCAGGTCCAGGACAGGAGGCCCGGGCAGGCGGGTCCAGAACTGGTCAATCCAGAGCAGGGGTGCAGGGGGGAGACACCTAACAGACACAGGCTTTCTTTACACGGTGTGAAATAGTCTAGGATCAATGATGGTGACCGTTACACCACCCTGTGAATTTCCTGCAGACCAGGGAATTGTGTGCCTGCGAATGGTGAACTCCGTGGTGTGTGGATTATATCCCCCCAAAAAGCGGGGGTGAGGAAGGGTTGGTGCACAGAGAGGGGGCCGGGAGCTGCGGAGGGGTCCCAGGCCAGACCACGCACAGGGTGGACGGTCAGCGGGGCCTGCCAGGAGCACTGGGAGCCAGGCTGTTTCACAAGGGGAGAGAGGGGCCCGAGCAGCGCCCGCGGACGGCACGATGCCCAGGGCAGAGCGCAGCGCCGTCTCGGTGGGGGGTGAGGGCCCTGCCCCTCGGCGCCGGGCTCCCAGGCGGACTGGCACACGAGGGCCGCCCGCTGCCGGCCTGAGGGCTGGCTGGGGCCCAGAGCCCACAGCTCCCCATCAGCGCTGTCCCCGGGGTGAAAGCCATCCCCAGCCCCGCGCATGGATCGTGAAGTCCTGAGACGACAGGGCTGGAGGCGGACTCACTTCTCGGCTCCCGCTTGCTTCCCCGAGCGGTGGCTTCGCGGGGAGAACGTCTCAGTGCTAAAATTCTAAAGTAAGAAACACGCCAGGTGGCCTGCTGCGCTGACCCCCCATGCTACATTGCAAATTTCGATCGTGAGCTGGCAAAACCCCACCCTTACCTTCAGTAAAGGTCACCCCAGGCACCCCAGGCTGGGCGTCAACCAGAGACGCTCCGCGGGGCACCCCGACCTCACGCTGGGAGGAGCGGCTGGGGGCGCCGCGAGCTGCCCCCATGGGCCTCGATCGCTGGAGCCTCCTCCACTCCCAAGCCTCCCTCCGCTCCCCGCCGGGGGTCTCCTGGCTGGGCGGCGCCCTGGGCTCTGGTCAGCCTCCCTCTGTGCTGGGACACTGGCCGCGGCTCATCTGAGCCCACCCAGTCATGCCCGGAATGGCCTATTTCCACGCCCTGGGGTTCTGGGGGGTATGGCTTCAATGCATGGAATTCTGGGGGGGGGGTGCTGCGGGCTTCTCACTGTGCCCTGGTGGGTGTGCCCGGCGCGGGGGTCTCTCAGGGTGTCTTCTCTAAGACACGAATCCTCTGGGATCCGGTCTGCCCTTAAGACGTCACTGAGCCCCACTGGTGTCCTGAGCAGCACCCCCACCCGGGGCAGGGCTCCAGCATACCATTTGGGGCACACACAGGCAGTTCTCAACCCCAGCCGTGCACACACGCACGGAACGGCCACAGTCCCTGCTCACCTGCGTCGGCTTTCTGTCTCCTTGATTTTCTCTTAAATAGTTTCCGGAAGGAGGCAGGCGTCAGAACAGCGCACCGGCCCGCCCTGTGGCGCAAGGCCTTACGCCATCACGGGGAAGCCGGCCGCGGCCCTGCAGCGTGAGGTGGACCCCGCCAGGGAGGGACCCCAGGGCGCAGCAGACCCCTCTTGGCCCCCAGCTGCCCCATCAGCAGTGTGTCTCAGTCCACCCGCCGGTTCTGCTCCCCGCTCTGCCTCTGGGGAGTGTTCTCACAGCCCGCACCTCTGGCCTGCACCCCTCTGTAAAAAGAAATAAATCTTTAAAATCAATCAAACAGGCCCTCCCTGCTGGCGCAGCGGGTTAAAGCACAGCACTGAGAATCTAAAGCCGCTTCCGCATGAGTTCGATCCCCGCCTGCCCCGGAGGTGACCACATGGCGTGGCAGACCTCTCCTGACCCGCCCACTGCTCCCCTCAGCAGTGTACTTCGTCCATCTGCCTGTTCTGCTCCCTACTCTGTCTCTGGTGAAGCCTCTCACCACCCCTGCACCTCTGGCCTGTACCCCAGTTCTGTATGCAGAAATAAATAAATCTTTAAAAAAAAAAAATCAATCAAACAACTGCCTCAAGGGACTGTCCTTTGTTGATACACTGGGGACAGGCCCAGCAGTCCTGTCCCCAAGGCCCCTCTCTGTTCTGGAGCCACGGCGGGGTGGAGGGCTGGCGCGGGCGGGGAAGCAGCCTTGGCACCTGCCCGGGGCCCGGAGTCTGCAGCCCAGGCCCTGAGAGCTCCGTGCCTCCCCTCAGAGCCGCCCCAGCCTGCCGTTTCTCGCCAGTCAGTGGAGTTCACGGGCACGCCCCCGGGCAGCGCTGGCCGGGAGGACGCGGCAGTGCCCGCCAGAGGGGCAGTCCTGTTCCCAGTCACCCACAGGAGAGAGCAAGGGCACCGTGCAGCCACGCGCTGGGCCGGGGGCAGGGCCCCTCCCGCGCCCACTCAGCCGGGCAGGCCGCTGTGAGTGTGACGAGGTGGGGCAGGGCGGGGCAGCCCGCCCGGAGGCCCACCGCTGGGTGCCGCCCACTGCCGTGGCCCTTGTGGGGGTCTGCCGCCCCTTGGCCCCGACTCCCAGGAGCCGCGCCGGAGCGGGGGCTGGCCTGTCTCTCTGCTTTACGCTGCGGCCGGGCGCACACGGGGTGTCACAGCGCGACTTCCGCTGCGGGGCCGTGGGGTCGTCGGCCCGGGCCCCTCCGGCGTCAGCAGTCCGAGGTCAACGGGCCCTGGGTGGCGCGGGGAGCTCGGCCTTGGCGCCTCTCCCTGGGTCGGGCAGGTCCGAGGGACAGGCCCGCCCTCCCCCGCCTCGGCCAAGGTCCTGTCTCACTGCTGAGGCTCAGGTGGGTTTGGGCGCAGGTGGGTCCTCTGGACCATACCTAGTCCCGGACTTCCCCGTTACCCCCGGGGGACACCCACCTCCCATGGCTGGCCTGGAGACCACCCGGCGGCTCTGTATAGAGCTGCCGTCTCCTGACATGTCACGTGGACGGAAACAGACAGCGTGGGCCTTCGGGCCTGGCCTTGCCCTCGGCATGGCCTGCGCGGCTGTGGAGATGCCACCCGGGCCAGCCGGACCTGGGGGCAGCCTGAGAATCTGAGGTCACCCCTTCCAGGTCCCTGCCTATTGCGAGGGGCTACACCGCCATCTGCTGGCCTGGAGAAAACCTGACAGCCAGGGGGGCGGGGTCCCCTTGTCAATTCAAGGGAAGGCGGATTTCTGGTGACTTGCTGCCAGCCCGGCTGTCCAGGCACCATCACCACCCTCTCCACCCCCACACAGGACTCACCACCCCCTCCCCCGGGATAGCGCAGAGGCAGTGAGGGGGGGCGGGGGGAGGAGGGGAGATTGTAGCTTTGGCTGGGGTTACCATCTACAAGGCTGGTAACGTGGGGGAGCTTGAGGAAGGTGCCGTCCTCCTTGCTTCTAGGTTCTCAAAGAAACAGGGAGCACTCTGCCTGGGAGGACGGGGCAGGTGCAGGGGATGGGGAGGCAAAGGGGTGGCTCCGGGTCTGGGTCCAGGAAGGGCGGCAGAATGGTCGCTCCTCACGAGCCTGGCCCCGCCGTCCTTGTGCCGGAACAGAGGACACAGTAGGTTTAACAGGTGTGCGGGTTTACCAGGGAAGCTGGCTTGAGGGGGACGGCGTGACGGGCCAGGGCGGTTGCCTGAGGAAAGGGATGGACGGGACATGAGGGGTGCTAAGAGACTGGGTCAAAGGACGGGAGGTCCTGGTGGGGAGGAAGGGGTCCGGACCCCAGAGGAAAGGCCAGGGAGAGGCACTGGACGACGGATTAGGAGTCAAGTTCACGGAGACGCCACCTCCTCGCCTGCATGGCTCGCCAGGCTGCAGGGCTCCGTAAGTGCCCTGCACTTACAGGCAGTAAGTGCCCGCTGCCCAGATCGTGCTGCAGAAGATGGCTGGAACAGGAATGTGCCTGAAGGGCTTCAAAGCTGATGTCCTGCAGTGCAATGTGGCTTTTTTATGAAAATACTATTTTTAAGAGCAACAACGAGGAGCAACTGTCAAGCTAGAGGGTGCAGATCACACCCCTTCAGTGGAAGAAGGTGGCGCTTTCCAGACTCCACCTGAAAAGAAGCAAACCTGAGGTAAGGATTAGGCTGACCTGGGTGATGGGGCCTCATCCACATGCTTTGAGCACAGGACATGACGCACAGGAGGAAACCACAGGATTTATTTACAGAGAGAAAGGGAGAACTGAGAGAATCCACTGAGCGGAGACCAAGGCCCAAGCCAAAGCCACACGTGGCAAGACGGCAGGCCTCTGGATACGGAACTGCCGAAGCGCCTATCCCCTCAGTATCGCTCCCGGGGGTGTTGTCTGGAAAGCCCGACCTCCTTCCATTGAGTTGGCCATCAGTGTCACTCAACGGCTGGGAGGTTGCTCTTGACTGTTTCTCTTCCACACCCCAGCGTGCTGTGGGGCTGATGGGGAACAGGGACAGGCTTGCGCTGTCAGAGACATCTGGTGAGAGAAGCCACCAGCTGCCACATGTGGCTCAGGCTTGGACCTCAGTCTCTGCTTAGCAGACATCACCTAGGGTGGGACGATGGCACCTGGCACGTGCTAATAATCCCTCCCTCTTCTTAGTCCCTATGTAAATAAATCATAGTTTTCATCATTTGTCTGCTTTGGGATTGTGTGCTGCATTTTTTTGTTTTAAGTTGTAAAATTTGTTGCATACACGAGCCGGGATGCAGGCCAGAGATACCGGGGGCGAGGGGGTGATCACCAGAGACAGAGTGGGGAGCAGAATCGAAATATACTGCTTGAAGGGAGAAGCCAGTGGGGCAGGAGGGGTCTGCTATGGCCAGTGGGTCGCTGGCTGGGACAGCTTGACTAGCCCTGGCTTTAACCCCTGTGCTGCAGGGGCCCCCTAGGTCCTGCATTCTTTTTTTCTTCTTTTTTTTTAAAGACTTATTTATTCATACAGAGCTAGGGTACAGGCCAGAGATGCTGAGGGTGAGAGGCCTCACCAGAGACAGAGAGGGGAGCAGAATAGGCAGATAGATGAAGTACATACACTGCTGAGGGGCGCAGCGGGGGGTCAGGAGAGGTCTGTCGCGCCATGTGGTCAACTCCGGGGCAGGCGGGGATCGAACTCATGCGGAAGCGGCTTCAGCTTCTTAGTGCTGTGCTTTAACCCGCTGCGCCCCCAGGGAGGGCCGGTCCTGCATTCTTAACCACATGGAAGGACCCGCTAACAAGGTTATCCCTGGTCTCCGGGCTGGCCTCTTTCATACTCACCAGTTTTTCATTGGCTGGCCGCTGTTTCTCAATGATAGCTGACAGTGTTCAGGAGCTTGCACTCAAACCTCAGACAAAGCAGCAGTTTTCAGGGGAGTGACTAGAAGGTGCTGGAGCGGCAGTTTTCGCACCCCGGCCCCGCTCTCAGAGGCCATCAGGCCTTCGGGGGACAGGCACCTTAGGAAGCCCTGCCGGGCAACCAGACCCTACATGGGCGACGGATCACTGAGCCCGGGGGCCGTGCCCGGGCCCAGCCAGCAAGCGGTGGGAGGGGTCAGGCTGCTGGCGGCTTCTGGACCAGGGTTCCAGCACAGCGGCAGTGAAGCCAGGGCTCATCCCGGGGGGGGACCCCTGGCCTCAGTCTTTGTACCACGATCATCTTTAGGTTAGTAAGAACGTGAAAGGAAAAGCACTACAGTATGTAGAAAAGCAAGTTTCATTTATTCAAGTTAAATTATGAGTTTCATTTTTATACAAATAAAGTCTTTTTGTAAATAAAGTACAAAATGCTACAAGTATTTCAGTCGTGTAAAATGCAGAAACAGCCATGCCCCACACCCGCGGCCCCGACGAGGCC